GTAGTGAGCTGAAGGTCAGCCTGAACACACAGGAAGACCCTATCTCAAAAACAACAGCAGCAACATAAATTGGGCCCAAAGTATTCTGGAATATGTACATATACGTATGTGGTATTTTGGTGCTGGAAGCTCAGTGTAAGCATGAAATTCATTTATGATTTATATATATCTATGTACATACCCTGAAGGCAGCTGGATCCAGTAATTTTCATAGTGTCGCACATGAATTATACTGCATGGTGTGGTATTTTCCACTCGAGCCATCATATTGGTGCTCAGAGTTTTGGATTTTAGAGCACTTTGGATTTTTGGATTAGAGATGTTAAGTCTCTACTACACCATGGCAAGGCAGAAATACAATTTTTTTGTTTTGTACTGGTATTGAACCCAGGTCCTTCCACTGAGCTACATTCTTGGTGTAACTTTTTAAATTGTTTTGAGAGGGGGTCTGCTAAATTCCTAAGTTGCCCAGGCTGGACTTGAACTTGCAGTCCTCCTGCCTCAGCCTTCCAGAGTGCTGGGATTACACGAGTTGTCACTGCGCCCAGCTCAAAATATGCTAATTTTAAAAATTACGTTTCATCTTCTGTGCACTATCTGGTAGCAAGAAACACTAAGTGTCCCTGTACGCAAATACTCCGTGCTGCGGTGGGTTTCGTTTTCTTGACATTCCCAGCGCACAGCTCTAATCACTAAGCTCTTCCTCGTCGCTGAAGTAGGCGCTCTTCTTTATCCTCGGGCGCCGGGAGTCCTCGGAGGCGGAAGGGCCCCCTGCGCTGGCTTTCCATTTGTTTTGTTCTTCCATCTTGGCTTGCTGGAACGGGATTCAGAACACCAAGCCAAATCAAGCTTCTATTTAGGATGAATTCATTTCTACGCGGAGATATCACAACACAACCCACACAGGGAGCTGGCTCCGTGACCCATTCTGTCCCCACGACAGTGTTGCACAGTCACCCCACGCAGAGTCTGCGGGTTTGCAGAGCTGGCACAGAGCCAGGCCATGTGGGTGCAAGGCCAGCATGCCCCTGAGCTACACCAACTGCACCTGCTGTTGTTTTCTGTTTTTTTTTTTTAAATTTTGAGACAGGGTCTTTGAGTTCAGGGTGGCCTTGAACTCAATATGTAGCCCAGGCTGGCCTGAAACTTGTGGTGATCCTCCTGCCTCAGCCTCCCAGGTGTGCTGAGATTACAGACTGAGTCTGGCCTTAAACTCTCGACCCTCCTGCTTCAACACCTTAGCAGTGGGGATTATAGGCATGCACCCTCATGCCTGGCTGTCCTAGGCAACTTCTCATGATGATGATTACTGATATTATCATTGCTATTATTTTTCAAATACTGAGGATTGAACCCAAGGGTACTGTACCACATCCCCAGCCCTTTTTATTTTCTATTTAGAGAGAAGTTCTCACTAAATCCCCAGGTGGGACCTGAACTCACAGTTCCCCTGCCTCACTCTCCCTCACTGATGGGGTCACAGGCACGGGCCACTAGGTTTTTCTTTCCTGTGTGTGCAGGATCAAACCAGGGCCTCAGTAGCGCCAGAGAAGGCCCCAACACTGAGCTACATCCCCAACCTAGGCAACTTCCAGAAAATGCCGTGGGGTATATCGAGCTCAGTTTAGTCAGACAGCGCTCGGTTCTGTAAGGAACACAGATCGGGGGCGGGGCGGGGCGGGGCTTGGTGCACACTGCCGGGGCTCAACCCCTCCTACTGCAGGACAAAACAAGATTTATTAAGTGTCACAGGACCCTTGAAGTCTACAAAGAACACATGGGAGCTTTTCAAACTGGTGCTGTGGTGCAGTGACTCTGTAACATACTGAAGACACTGAGTCCAGAGGCCAGTGGGAGCTGGTCTGCTCTATAATCCCAGACCTTGTGAGGCTGAGGCAGGAGGATCACTGCGAGTTCAAACCAGCCTGACTTCTATAGGGAGACGCTGTCTCAAAAAACCAAAACAAAACCAAAGGAGGGGGACTCATCACACACCAAACCCTTAGGTCTTCTCAAACTTAGGAGATGAAGGAAGGAGCTGTCACAAGGACTTCAGCCAAAGGCAACTATCACAGAGGACCTTACAAAAGAACACTTTACTCTGGTGTTGATTCTCAGCACCACACAGAGAAAGGAAACAAGCCCACAGTCACAGAAAAGCACAGGGGTGGAGCACTGGCCCAGCAGGCCGCGGCCTTGGGCCTTAGCCCCGCCCCCACAACCGCCACCGCTGGGTACCTGGCAGGCGATGGCCTGGCTGAGGCTGTCCAGAGCAGGGTCCTCCCCCTCGTCCTCGCTGCCTGCTGCGTCCTCGCTGCGTTGGGGAGAAACAGCACAATGTGAGCAGCGGGCGGTGACACAGAGCCGCCTGGGGAGGGGCTCAGGAGGAGCAGAGTACTCACATTTCTTCCGGTTCTGCCGTTTTCTTTTTCTTCTTTTTTTCTTTCTTCTTTGGAGGCTCACGTTCTCCGAGCATATTCTTCGGACAAGCATAACTTAAGTGTCCACTTTCCTTTTGTTGTGCATTGGAAAGGAAAGGAAAGATACTGTATTTGTTAGAGAAAGCACCTAGAGACACACCTCCCGCCCAGTTGCTGTGGCGCATGCCTGTAATCCCAGCGGTTTGGGAGGCTGAGGCAAGAGGCTGCAAGACTGATGCAGGACACAGGGGGTTTGATTCTCAGTCCAAATAATAATCATCATAAATTCCCAAACTGTGTTTGAAATAATGGGACACCAAAAAATGTGAACACACCCTATACTAAAAAATGTCTACTAGTGGGAAAAATTGGGGAAAAACCAGGATAAGTAAATGTAAATTCACCTGGGGAAGATTAAATGTAAAGTAGAATATGACAAATCTATTGATCCATAAGCAAAAGGAACAAGTGAACAGATTCATTTGGGGCAATGGTGGTGAATCTATGGGTGCTACAGCAGGTGCTTTGACAGGTTTAAAAGGTTCGCCATAACTGATCAAAGTTTTCTCAGATAATTGAATATTTCAGGTAAACAAGAAGAATGAGTAACAATTCTAATCTGAACGTAACTACCCCTTATCCCTTTTAAAAGTTCATTTATTTATTCAATTTTGGGGTTTTTCTTTTTTCCTTTGGTGGCTGTAGTTGGGGCAGGGTCTTGCTATGTACCCCAGGTTGGCCTTGAACTCGAGATTCTTCTGCCTGGGCCTCCTGAATGCTGGGATGGGGGGCATGTGCCACCATGCCCAACTCCTACGTGCATTTTCCATGTTTATTTCTTTCTTTAGGTAAATGAACTGAGGCTTTGTGCATGCTAAGCATGCATCCTTTCTAAAACTTCAGGGTTTTGGAATACAGTTTAGAAAACTCCCTCTTGAGAGGATGGAGAATCAGTGGGCACGGCTGTGCCCATGTGCTCCCTCTTTGCAGCCTTCTGTTTTGATGTCTGCAGATTACGTATGTACGTGTATGATTTCTTTGAAGAAGGGTGTTGTGGTGTCGTCCAGGCCTGCCCTCAGGCGTGTGCACTGGGCCTGGCTGTGTGTGAGTCTCTGTTGAGTGGGGAACGGGAGCGGAGTGTGACAGTGCGGAAGGACCAAAGGACCCCAGCTGCTTCTCTGAGAGTGACTGCAGTGAGGATAGCATCTCTCACTAGGGCTCTCTCCAGCTCCCACTGGCCTCTGGACTCAGTTTCTTCGGTATGTTACAGTCACTGCAGAAAGCCGCAGCTGTGAGAGACCCACTGAAATGCCCTTGGGACCACTGTGGGCACGGTACCCTCATCGCTGCTGTGCATGTCTCCACTCACGGACACCCTGAGTGGGCAACAGCAGATCGTGAGGAGAATCAGGGGAGAAAATGGAGGCACAGTTCAGTTACAGAACACTGGCAGTGCTAGAAGGAAAACAACTGCAAACAGCGGAGTACGGTGCTGCATGTCTGTAGTCCCAGGTACGTGGGAGGCAGAAGCAGGAGGATCACTTAAGTCCATGAGCTTGAGACCTACCTGGACAACACAGTGAGAATGCATCTCAACAAGAACTCAACTCCTAATACATCAAAGAGGGCGGGACATTTCATAATGGTGCTCAGCTGTGACGCTGGCCACTGGCCAAATGTCACAGAAAAAGGCAGCACCTGATAGACCTTCATCAGCCGTTAAAACCTTTCCAGACACCTAAGTGACTAAGTAATTTAGAACTTAAAACTCTTTTCTTTTAGAAAACTTAACTTAAAACTCTTCTTTTAGAAAAGAGTTTTAAAGATATAGAAACTAGACAAAAATACCACTCCATATTTACTTTAAAAAAAAAGCCCATGTTGTTGTTGTTGTATTTTTGCAGACCTGGAGATTGAACCCGGGGCCTCAGCATGCTAGGCGAGCTCTCCACCTCTGAGTTACATTCCCAGGCCTAGGTTTTTGTGGGGTGTCCCTCTCTTTGTTTTTGAGACAGGGTCTCCTATGTAGTTCGGGCTGGTCTCAAATTCATGGAAATCCGACTGAGTCAACCTCCCAAGTGCTGGGATTACAGGCCTGTGCTATCATGCCCGGCTTTCCAGGCCCAGATTATCTTTCATTTCATTATTTTCTTTTCTGTCTGTTCTCTCTCTCTTTTATGGTACTAGGGATTGAACTCTGGAAGTCTTTACGGCTGAGCTACACCCCCAAGTTTTTAATGTTTGAGATAGGATCTTGCTTAGTTGCCTAGGCTGGTATCAAACTCGCAATTCTACTGCCAACCCTCCCACAAATCTGGGCCTTCAAGCCTGCACCCCCGCACTTCATAAATACATTTCATTTCAGCTTTCTTAGATGAGCTTCTAAGAAAAACCTTTCTTTCTTTCTTTCTTTCTTTTTTTATCTTTTCTTTGGGGACAGGATCTCACTATGCAGTGCAGGCTGGCCTCGAGCTCACTCTGTAGCCCAGGCTGGCCTCAAACTTGCAGTGATCCTCCTGCTTCAGCCTCCCAGGTGCTGGGATTACAGGTGTGCAACCACCACGCCTGGCTAGAAAAACCACTTTCATGACTTGGGTATGGCTTACCAGAAGTTTTGGTGAGCACCAATAAAAGACGGATGTGGGAAATACCTTCAAGTTAAGAGTTTGTGAACTTTCAGGCGTACTCACCCCACACTCGTAACACTTAGATTTATCAAAGTAGTTTCGCCTTCGGATGAATTCAGCCGCTCTTCCATTGTCGATGGCAATGCTTGCCTTTATCACTCTACCAAACAACTAAACCAGAGAAACATGTAAATGTAGGTTGTGGTTCCCTGGATCTAAAACTACTATCTCTGAATCTACTGATATTCACTCCATTTGAACATCCCCTGCATTTTCCCATTTTTTTGGCTGAATGAGCACAAAGGCTGTGGGGCTTAAAAAACTCAGATGCACGTGAATGGCTCACCTGTTTGTTGTTTATGGCTCTGGTGCAGTTTTGTGCAGAGTCTTTATCCAAAAACAATATAAATGCAACCCCTTTACTCCTCCTCGTATCTTTGTCTTTCATTATAGTAACCCTGAAAGGAGAAACAGAGAGTGAATCAAAAATAAGAAAGCAATAAATAAAACATGTGAATACTTAGAAAGCTGAAGTTTTTTTTCTTTTTTTTAAAAAGGATTAAATAAAGGATTGAAGCAGGGCTCAGCGGCACAGCGCCTGCCTGGCAAGCCAAGGTCCTGAGTTCAATTCCCAGTACCAAAAAGATAAAATTAAATTTTTTTTAAGAATTGAAAAATAAGAGAAATACATAAAATCTAGCTATTTCTTCAAAGTCATGGGACATCAAAAATAATGGAAGTAAGAAAGTGATACTGCTGTTTTTTTGGGATTTTTTGTCTGTTTGTTTTGTTTATTGAGCCAGGATCTCACTATACAGTTCAGGCTGATTTTGAACTCACTATGTAGCCTAGGCTGGCCTCAAACTCACAAGGATCCTCCTGTCTCAGCCTCCCAAGTGCTGGGATTACACACACTGCACCATCATGCACAGCAACACCACTTTAATGCAAGTAAGCACAAGAGCTAGCACCCTGAGAGATAAGCTGAAGTAGAAGGGGGTAGAGATTACAAATGGACTCTTAAAGATGAAGCACAACTCTTTCCTAATTTCTTCAACCTAAAAGAAAAAAACCTGAAACAAAACTTGAGGTATTCTATTCTACATAAAAACTAAAATGATTTATTTAAACTACTGATCGAAGGTTTTAGATCTAACTATTTGGAGGAGGGTACTGGGTATGAAATCCGGGGATTGCTAAACTACAGCCCCACCCCTTTTTGAGAGAGGGTCTTGTTATGTAGCTCGGGATGCCCACTATGTGAACTATGTGAACTCACTATGTGAGTTCCTGTAACTCTGTCCCTGGGCCTCAGCCTCCCCAAATGCTGGGATTACAGCACACCACTGTCCCTGGCTCTCTAGTTTTAGAATTCTTTTGAAGCAGTGACCTTCAGTTCAGTGAGTCTTCGGCCAGTTCTGGGTTCCTTAAGTGAGAGGCAGGATGACAAAAGCACACACTTTACTTTTTCTTCTGCCTCTGCAGTTTGCCTAGAGCTGGAGGTGTTGGCTAGCCATATGCCATTTAGTGTGCTTTGGGAACAATGCTCTACAGGGTTCTCTGGAGTAAAGGTGGAACTCCAAGGCTGGATCAGGATAGGTACAAGAGGAGCTTGTTACTTGTGTACTGTGTTATACATGAAGTGCAAGCAACAGTGAAGCAAAAGGATGGGGCATGGCGTAAAAGTACAGAAGTCAGCAGCAAAGAGCTACCACGGTCATGTGCCGAAGTATTTCAGTACCAAAAAAAGTACAACACTGAATTAAAAACAGAAAAGGTTCAGAATTCTCTACAAGCAACCGATAAATAAGTAGGGGAGAAAGGAGAGCTCTTGCTTATTGCAGAATGTCAGCGCGTGACTGGTGAATGGAAAATCACCTTGTCTGTTTGCTTGACAGTCTTACTATGTAGTTCAGACTGACCCTGAACTATGTAGCCCCAGTAATCCTCCTGCCTCAGCCTGGAATCACGGTACTCGGACCACAGGCATGTGCTACCACACCTTGCCAAAAAATCACCAGTTTGCAACATCAAGGTAGAATTTGAATCAGGAAAGAACCAATAACATATTTTAAGTCTAAAATAAAATTTTTATGTGAGTAAGTATCTTATATCGTCTTAAGAGTGCTGGAGGTGTTGGCTAGCCATATGCCATTTAGTGTGGTTTAAGAACAATGCTCTACAGGGTTCTTTGTATTAAGAGTTGATTGATCCACGGGTAAGTACAAGAACAGCTTGTTGCTTCTTGTCTGCTATGTCACATTTACTAAACAGATCAATAACAATTGAGATTTAAGCAGTAGTAAGTCTCAACCATAAAAAGCCCAGGACCAGACAGGTTCACTGGTTAAGAACTGACACCAGTCCTCCTCAAGCTAGTCCATGACACAGGAAGGAAAGGAACTCTGCAGACTCATGAGAGGGCAGTAACAAACACACTGATACCAAACTCGAAAGACACAACAGAAAGGGACACACCAATATCCTTCATGAAGACAGATGCGAACATCCTTTTCAACAGTGCAGTTAAAAGATTCTACACTAAGATCATTCCCTTCACTGCAGGGATTCAAGTGTGTTCAACATGCAAATCAATAAACGTAAAGCACTACATGAACAAGTTCACATCCACTCATGATAGAGCCCTGAAGAAGCTAGGTATTGAAGGTATAGTGAAAGACATACAAGACAGTTCCATAGCTAGTAACACTGTGATCGGGCAAAACTAAAAGCACTTCCTCCAAAATTAGCATGAGGCAAGGATATTAAAGCTCACTACTTCTACTGAATATAGTACTTAAAATATTAGCACGAGTATTTAAGCAAGAGAAAGAAATAAAAGGGATACAAATAGGAAGGAAAAATGCAAATTATCCTTATTTGCAGTTGATATAAATATACTTAGAAACACAGACTGAAAGAATTTTGTTAGGGATGAGAAGTTGGTCCAGCCTCTCGTTCTTTGGCACTGAGCCACAGTATTTTCTATGACCCTTAGTCGATCTCAGTCTTGGAATAGCAGGAAGAACAGCTCCTCAGAACAACTGTCACTGGGCATGGTGGTGCATGCCTGTAATCCCAGCACTTGGGAGGCTGAGGGAGGAGGATTGTTGTAAGTTCAAGACCAGCCTGGGCTACAAAGAGAGCTCAAGGCCAGCCTGAACTGCATAGTGAGACCCTGTCTCAAAAAAAAAAAAAAAAAAAAAAAAAAGCACAGTTGTCACATTGGCTGAAGTAGTACACTCAGCAATAACAGTAGTATCAAACACAGCCTAGATGCCTATATAGAGAGCTCCGGAGCACAAGCCCCTGCCTAGCAAACGCAGCCTAGAAAATGACAATCCAAGGTAACCATTAATTTGCCACTTTTAAACATCTGAACTAGATTTGTGGTTATACAGCAAACTCTAAAACAACCCACAAAATTATATACACTACGTGAGTCTTTAATATGTCAATTTTATCCTCAGGGGTTAAAATCTAAAAGGAATTGGGGGAGAAAATAGAGAAGTGGAAGAAGAGGAAGAGATTAGAAGTAAGGCTGGAGAAAAAAGGGGGATCACGCTAACTTTGGGAAACTGGTGCGAAGACTGGAAAAAAAAAAAGGAAGAAATAAAAAAAGGAACAGAACAGCAACCATAAAGAAGCTAGAAACCATGTTCACACTCATAAAAACAAGATCAAACAATGAAGGGGAAAAAAACAAACAAAGAATTTTGATAAACAAATTTAACTTAGCAATAGGACACAAAATCAACATTACCTTTTCTATATACCAGTAGTGAACTAGCTGAGAAAGAAATTAGGAAAATAATTCTGTATACATTTGTTTAAATAATAACTTTTAAAAAAAGAAATCCAAGGGTTCAACCTAAACAAGGAGGTAGAAAAGGATCTAGAATGAAAATTATAAAACATTTAAGAAAAAAATTGAAAACACTAGAAGATGTAAAGACTTCCCATATTCAAGGATCAGCAGAATTAATATAATTAAAATGGGTATCC